CCAGGGCCTCAAGCATGTTAGACAAGTGTTCTGTCTGAGCTACACCCCCAATGGTGATCTCTACAATCCCTTACCCACTTTCCAAATTTTAACATCAAAACAGAAATTAGGCTGGATATGGTGGATCATGCCTGTAATCCAAGATACTGAGGAGCCTGAGGCAGGAAAATCACAAGTTCAAGTCCATCCTGGATAACTTAGACCCTATTTCAAAATTAAAAAAAAAAAAGAAAATTGGGACTAGGGTTGTGGCTCAATGGTAATGCACTTGCCTAGCATGCATGAAGCACTGGGTTCGATTCTTAGCACCACATACAAATAAATAAAGGTCCATCAACAACTAAAAAATATTTATTTATTTTAATTTTATTTTTTTTAAGAGAGAGAGAGAGTTCAATATTTATTTTTTAGTTTTTGGCGGACACAATATCTTTGTTTGTATGTGGTGCTGAGGATTGAACTCGGGCCGCACGCATGCCAGGCGAGCGGGCTACCGCTTGAGCCATATCCCCAGCCCCACTAAAAAATATTTTAAAAAATTTTTTTAAAGGTTTGGGAATGTAGCTTAGTTATAGAACACTTGCACAAGACTATCCATTCGATAACTGTTACCTGAAAAACAAAACAAAAAATAGCACCTGTACACTGCTATTAATAAGACAAGAGCAGACCTTATTCAGATTGCTCATTTTCCCACTGTACAGAAATATGTTTAATTTTTAGAGATACTTTCTCACATTTTTACCAGATCTAGAATATTATCAAACAAGACTAATGCTGGTCCAAAAATAAAATTGGCACTAATTAGTACTGTATAGCAAATATCTCCAACTTGGATTCTCAATGGTTCTCCTCCTCAGCCTAAATGTCTTGTTTGCATGGAGAAGTTATCACTTGAAGCAGGAATGCCAAGCAATCCTCACAGGTTCCTCTCCTACAGCATTCACCTCAGGCAGAAGAGTGTGGTTTTAAACAATAATCTGTTGTGAAGAGTTTCTCATGATCTCCATTGTATCAGTATGTGATTGTGCTCCCAAGTGTAGGTGCAACATCGTGTGATTCATTGTTGCAGCCAAAAGGTCTCACTGTTTGCAGGCTGACTCCTTTTGCAGAACTGTACTGAATCTGTGGACATTGTGCTTGGGCCTAAGAAAGCAGTTGGTGGACACATTGTCACATGGACAAATTGACTTGTGACATGACAGAAACAACAGAACTTTGCACTGCACACTGCTGGACCACAGGTGTGTTACCTGAAATTCTGGCAGTTCCATAAGTTAAGGCTGTTTTGTCCACAGTGCGGTGCACCAGGCCAAAGGGATCTGTTGGTCTGAGCTCATCCAGCAATACTGTGCTCAACGGGGATGCGAATGCAACCCAGGCTCTCTGGCCCTCACTGCTCTATGTAAAGAGACTGGAGCACCTCTACGCTATCATACTGAAGCATGTTGACTGTCAAAAGATGTGGTCAGAGCTTGTGAGCTAAAGATGGAAGGAGAAGAAGTTTCCTGTGTGATTTTACCTTCTAGTTCTTGTGAAGGATGGTTATTGGCTTTAAATTGGTCACCAGGCCAATCCTGTGGTGTATCTGAACAGCTGTAATGAAAATATACTATTGCTTAGTGAGTAAATATGTGGATTTATAGCAAAATCCAACTTTGTGAAAATAAGTAATTTAGTGATTTTTGGTTGGTGTTAATTTGAGTCCCAAATAGTGAAAACTGATGGAACAACATAATAGTGCAATACTTGCTATGAGTGAGTTCAGTGGGGTGGCAAATCTCCAGTGCCTCATCTCCTGGAGCAACTCCACCTATCTG